GTGGCAGGCAGCAGGGACACCTGCCTGTCCAGAGACCCCCAGGGTTGGGGGGGCTGGTCCCCACCCACCAACACACAAGCTGTTGTCCCACACTGGCCAGGGCCATCCCCCCACCTTGCTCCACCTCCAACCCCACTCACGCCATCTGCCAGTGCTCCTACTCCATCCTGTTTCTACCTCCTTCATCCCACCCCTGCCCTCCATGCCAGCCTGCCCAGTTCTGCACACATATCCCTGCTTGCCCACCAATCCTCTCCCCAACAGACAACCCCCTACCACCCACAACATGGTACACTGAAAGGGCCATACACAGCTCACCATCTGCCCTGTCCATTGTAAGAGGCTGGTCCTCCCAGCCTTGGAGGATTTTGCTGCTCCTGCCTAGCAGCTTGGTCACACTAGTCTGGGAAGGAGAGAGCAGCTGGTTGCAACATGGAGCCCAACTCATCATCCCCCAGCAACGCTCCCAACTCAGCTCTCCCTGGGGCAACTGAAGGCACAGATTCCCCCTGCATACTCAGCCTCACCCTCCCAGCCTCAGTCACACCTGCTGTGTCTGTGCCTTCCCTACCTTGTTGGGGAGTGCCACGAGGCCCTGCAGCCGCCCACTGCTCAGGGGGGAAGCCTGGATGCGCTGCCCGGGGCTTCTGCTGCTCTGATAATCCATGGTGATTGGTGGCACTCGGGAGATTCTGCCATTGATTGCTGTTCTCCTGCGGGATGGGCACAGGGATGCTCAGTGCCTGGCACTGTGGCATCCTGGGCTTCCCCCTCCTGCAGCAGGGAGGGGACCAGGGGGTGCTCCCTGGTGGCACGTGTCCCTCCCAGCTCCCCTCCACCTGCTGCAGGAGACCCAAGCCCATCCCACAGGGCAAATGTCCCCTCCCTCCTCCCAGGCAGGATCTGGGCTTGGTTGTGGGAATTGCTTTCACAGGAGGCATCCTACTCCACCCCAAGCCTGAGCTCAGGCAGAGACCAAACACAACTTCTTCCATTTGCCTTCAGAGACCTTGAGGCAGAGTCCTGGGCTAGAGAGGGGAGTGGAAGAGGGGCTATGAAGCCTGCCAGACCTGGGGCAAATACTGGCCCTCCACAGTTCCCTCTCTGCTTCCCTGCACTGACCAGGCCCACCAGTGCCCTCTGCCCCCACCCAAGGAAGAGCTCTAGCTCTCTTTGACAGGGAAGAGTTATCTTTCTCCCCAGGAGCCAGGGATGTGTCCTCCCTCAGGTCTCCTACCTTTGGCTGTGTTGTGTATCCTTGATGGGGGGCAGTGGTTGAAAATATGGGAGTGTCTCAGGATACCTGTGGAGGGCAGAAACCACGTGTTGGTGACAGAGGACAAACAACTCATGCCTGCTGGGCTGCCGGCAGCCCTTGGGGACAAGGCCTCACACTGCGTCCTGATGGGCAGGGCTGAGGAGGAGGCTCAGCAGGGTCAGACCCTCCCAAGCAGACACCCTCACCCCTGTGCCTGGCACAGCAGGTCACCCCTGGCAGCCATTGAGCCCCATC